GCTTGCTGATCCAAAGCGCACACAAATTACACTAAATTTTCACCCTGTTTTATGGTGCAAAACATTGCAGTACTTTGGCTAAAATTACATTTATGGCATAAAATTCTTTAGAATACTAACTTTCAATGCAATGCAATTGGGGGGGACCATGTACCACATTTTGAGTTTCCAGATTTATGTGTGTTCAACATTGGGGCGGAAACTTCTTATTCATTTAACATCATTCACACAATGCACCTTTTGCAGTCTTCATTGTCCCTGCATATGGAACCATATGATTCCAGCTATGCCTTAAGTTTACTGGGAGTGCTATTTCTGACATCTATATTTTGACAAGCTTCAACCCTGTACCCAAGATTATCTGTATTCACCACCGATCAACACAGAGCATTCCACACGACTTGTTATTCACCTTGGGCGCGACTGTCGGCGCCAAGCACACTTGCATCGATGTTTTAATCCAAGCGAACTCTCCGTAGACTGAATCGGTCTCAAATGGGCTGTCAAAGCTTCTTCGTCCTCAATTTCATCTGCACCAGATTCATTGCTATCCGACCCATATCCACGTAGAGCTAAAATAGATGACATTTCCGATGCTATCAACTCCTTGTAATGGTATCTATAACAACTAATCCACCCCCACCCACGGCAACGCGCAGTTTCACGACCACTATGGCATATACGCGGTGATACGTCCGCGCCGTGCAATGGAAATGGCGCGCTATGCGTCGTATATGTAAATTACACGAATTGATAGCGCACTAGCAAATTTTGAAACGTCTCTGACAGAAGGATATGTTTCAGGTAGCTGTCCAGTATATAACCAGATCAAACTAAACGAAGCAAGGTTGGGTGATTTTTTTCAAAAATGAGAATACTCTTTTCGCCAAACCATTATGAATGACACATTCTATGGTATAAAAAAGAAGAATTGGGGGACTGAATGAAACAGAGAGATGGACCGAGCAAAAGAACATCGTTCACCAAAAACATCTTCGAATTTGTTGTCCATTCATTCCAACTCAGGTTGTTTCTTTACAGATTTTCGTAGGGCCTGATCCCCTCCTCCTT